CCTGGTGCCTCACTGAGGTGGGGGATGAAGGGCAGATCGAGCTGCCTTGTCTTCCAGCATAAAACCCAGCTAGGAGTTCTTGGACAATGATTCCGGGGAGCACCGAGAAGCCACTGCTCCAGAGAACACAGTGCTGGGCAGACTGCTTGGGCTCCTAAGGATGGTCTTCATTGCTGTTCCCAACAAGACACCAAAAAACTCTTGGTGATAAAAGATAGGATTTCTATAATTAAAAAAAAAGATTTATTTATATTTATTTATTTTCATTTTATGTGTTTGAGTGTTTTGCCTACATGGGCATAAGTCATGGAAGCCAGAAGAGAGCATCTAATGCCCTAGAAGTGGAGTTAGGGATAGCTGTGAGCTACCGTGTGGGATGCTGGGAACTCAGGTCCTCTGCAAGAGCAGCAAATGTTCTTGACTGATGAGCGATTGCTACAGCCCTGTACCTTTTTGACAATGGGAAAGGAAAAATGACTTTCCCAAAGATGTCAAAGATGAACTCTTCCTGGCCGACTTGGTTAGGGCTACATAGTGAGTCCCTGTGCTGAGGGCGTGACCAGTCAGAAGTGAAGCCATGCACAGCAGGGTCCACACCAAGCAATTATGAAGTGAAGATTTCATTTTTCTGACAACATATATCTGAATCTCATTCGGACCTGTCCATGACTTACATCCTCAGGCAATGTGGGTCTTTTGAATTTTGTAGATCTTTACATTCTGAAACTCTTGACTCATACACACACACACACACACACACACACACACACACACACACACACACACACTCACGCCAAACACCTCTGTGTATCTTTGAACTACAGCCATGTTACTTGTAAGGTATTCTTAGAACAGCAACTTTAAAGGAATAGCCAGTGGTGTGGGTAGGAGGGGAAATTCAGGCCTCTGAGACAACCTTGGCTTTTTTTCTTTCTTTTTAGTTTTAGGGTTTTTTAGTCTTTTGAGACAGGTTCTCTCTGTTTAGTCCTGGCTATCCTGGAGCTTGCTATGTAGACCAGGCTGGCTTCAGACTTAAAGAGATCTTCCTGCCTCTGCCTCCCAGCGCAGGGATTAAAGGTGTGGGTCACCACGCCCTACTGACTGGGGGCTGTTTTTACACAGGTTCACCAACACCTGAGAAGGTGACATTGCCTTCAGTCGCTCCAGGTTTCCCGTCCGCTTCCTCGTGGAGCTGCCTCCACAGTTCACACCCTCCTCGGTTCACACCCTCCACAGTTCGCACCTGAGGTCCTGAACTGTTTTATCATTACAGCTGCACAGGACTTGGGGAAGGACACCCTGAAACTGTTAGGCGTTAATAAGCTCTAAAAGCAATTTCATGGCTGGACTGAAACATTATGAGGGGACGCCAAGGGAAGAGTAGTCCAGCAGCTTCCCCCAGACAGTGCAGGAAGACCACAGCTCTTAGCAGTTAAATTGCCAGGAGTAGATTTATCTTCTGGACCCCGCCTCTGTGCCTGTGTGTGTGTGTGTGTGTGTGTGTGTGTGTGTGTGTGTGTGTGTGTGTGTGTCCGTGTTTGAACATTCACACATACATATTCTGCCAAAAGATATCCCAATCACTATTTTAGGACCATTTCCCTGAAATAAACAGGCAACCGCTTTATCTGATTGCAGTTATGTTCTGTCTGGAGTGAGATCCCCTCCTCTCTCCTCCCTCCCCTCCCCTCCCCTCCCCTCCCCTCTCCTCCCCTCTGCTCTAAGACTTTCCGAGGAAGGCCTATGAATGAAGCAGAAGTTATTTTAGAAGTTGTATTCTACATGGGAATCCCCTTTTTAACATATTCACGACAGTGACAACTGAGGAGGTTGAGAGCTCTGGCGTTGGAAGCCTTGGCCGTGCAGATGGAAGGCAGGCAGGGGACACTGTTATTTTCACAGGATCACTGCTGTCTGCTATGAGGGGGCGGATTTTTGAAGGTAGCTAGGGATGAATGTCACAGGGACTTAGTTAATGTACTTGGTGGGGGACTGTCAGAGGCGGAAGGCAGAGCATATGGCCAGGACAGGAGCTGACAGGCTGCCAGCTAGGAGGAAGAACGTAGTGCTAAAACACACCCAGGTTAGCTGAGAAGACTCCATGCCTGACAGAACCGAAAAGCCCCAGCTAATAAGGAAATGCTTGGAAATACTGGGTGATCTTTGTTCATGAATAGGGAAGAAAATAAAGGAAGCCACCGGACTGTCCCCTTGTGAGTGAAATGTGTGGAGGAAGTGGAACTCAGGTTAAGGTCACCAGGTCAGAAGCCAGGGAGAAACTTTGAGATTAAAAGCTCACCTGAGGGGGCTGGAGAGATGTGCTTAGTGTGAATCAGGCTGTGGGTGTGATACCCCGAACCCCCCACCCTCCAAAAAAGACTGACTCTAAAGGGCACTGGCTGCTCTTTTAGAGGATCCGGGTCCGAGTCGAAGCACCCACATGGTGGCTCACAGTCATTGATAACTCCAGCTCCAGGGATCCAATGCCTTCTGGCCTCCTTGGACACCAGCCCACATATAGGGTATGGATATATGTGCAAACAAAACAGCCATATGCATTAAAAAAATAAAGAAAAAAAGAAAAAACCCTTACCCGAGGGCCCCTGCAATGGCTCAGTGGGTAAGGGTGTTGGCTGCCAAGCCTGATGACCTGAGTTTGATTCTCACACGGTGAAAGGGGAGAGCCAACTCCCACAAGTCCTCTGATCTCCACATATGCGCCATGCTGTGTGTGTGTGTGTGTGTCCGTCCTCCTGCCTCTGCCTCCCAAGTGCTGGGATTAAAGGCATGCACCACCGCCAACCACTCCCGGCTCAGTCATGGATCTTGATCTCCTATGACTTGGGTGCCATCCAACAAGACAAAAACAGTCAAAGCAAGCAGAAGCTCATGTGCCATGCTGGAATGGAGCCCCTAGCCTGTGATTGCTTAAGCTCTGTGACATGAAACCGGGACCGTGAAGTGTCTTCATCAGCAGGGGGTGGTTTTTAAGCCATGTAGACCTCAGCCATGTAGACCTTAGTGCCACCGGATGGCTTTTTTTCTGGTCTCCTTGGAGTAGGAGGTGGGGATCAAAGTGACACATTCTCTTAGGTTTGTGTGTGACTCTGTGCTGTATAGACATCCTTGTCTGAGCTGCAGACTTGACTCTGGGCCTAGGGATGTAGCTCAGCAGGAGGACGTGTGCTTAGCATAAGCCAAGCCATGAGTTTGATACCCAGAACTCCTCCCCCAAAGTGACTCTAAACTTATCAAAAATTATTTCTTTTTAACTTTTTGAAAATGTGTTTATTAGAGGCAGGAGAGATGGCTCAGCGGTTAAGAGCACTGACTGTTCTTCCAGAGGTCCTGAGTTCAATTCCCAGCAACCACATGGTAGCTCACAGCCATCCTTAATGAGATCTGGTGCCCTCTTTTGGCCTGCAAGCATGCATGTAGGCAGAACACTGTATACATAATAAATTAATAAATCTTTTTTTTTTTAAAGTATTTATTAGCCAGGTGATGGTGGCACATGCCTTTAATCCCAGCACCCGGGAGGCAGAGGCAAACCCTATGTAAGCTGCCATGTGGGTGCTGGGAATTGAACCTGGTCCTCTGGAAGAGCAGCCAGTGCTTTTAACTGCTGTGCCATCTCTCCAGCCCCAAGTTTTTTCTTTTTTCTTTGTTTTTAAGATGGTGGCACACACCTTTAATCCCAGCGCTCTGGAGACAGAGGCAGGTAGAACTTCTTGTGGGCCACAAGAATGTATTATAGAGTTTCAGCTGTATATTAAAACTATACTTTGACCAACCAAGGGTCTGTCAAATGGGAAGCCATTTATCAAGGAATATTTGGTGTTATACAGCCTTAATATCCAGCTGCGTCTTGCTGTGAACTTCTTGTGGGCCCATATACTACTAGACCATTTGGCAAACAGTTCTGCTCCTCGGACCTGCTGAACCTCTGGGTAACTAACTCCCCAACTGAGCCTAGGACACAGGTAGGCTGTAGATGCACAGCTTTGCTTCTTGTGCAAAGGAAGCTCAGACCATCCCCTTCCTTCAGGCCTAGGGGCATGGCAGAGAGATTGACTGAGGACAAGAGGGCTTTTGGCATAACCAGGTGCAGTAAGGACTGGAGCAGAATTCCAGAGGCAGACACAGAACCACGTGGCCAGAGAGAGGACAGGAAGACAGAGATTCTGTAGAGGGTAAGGCAGATCTCTTGCAGAGTATTCTGAGAGCCAGGAGTAAGGAGCTAGGAAGGAGAGATGGAGGACGAAGGGACAGAGGAGGAAGATGAGGTCAAGAAGCATAGGAGCTTACTAAAACTATGAGCACAGGAAAAGAGGGCACAGAGAGGAGCTGGATGTGAGGGTGGAGCTGAAGCTGTGCACATGGAATTTTGTCATAGAGGAATAAAGTAACGGACAAAAAGGCATGGTGTATGTAGATTCCTTTCCCTCGGATAACCCCACGCCAAATGTAGCGTCTTTCCCAGGACTCTGGGAATTTTCTCAGGGCTAGACTTGGGAAAATTCTGTCATCTTTAAGAACTCTGTGAGTTCAAGGCCAGTCTGAGCTACATAATGATGCCTTGTCTCAATAGACAAATAGAAAATTTAGATTCAGGATAGTTTGTTTGTTAAAGCACCTGATGAGCTGGAGGTGTGGCTCGGTGGGAGAGCACTTGTCTGGCAGGTGTGAGGCTCTGAGTTCTTCAGCCAGTCCCCAGCACTATGAAGAAGTAATTAATTAATTAATAATTTTGAGTTAAGCTCTTTCTATGTAGCCCTGGCTGTCCAGAAATTTTAGACCCCTCTGGAACTCACAGAGATCCGCCTGTCTCTGCCTCCCAAGTGCTGGGATTCAAGGCGTGTGCCACCATGCCTAGCCTCAGAAGCCATTTTTCAATGCACCTGCTAACATGAAGTGTACAGAGTGGCTTGGGTACAGGTGTGCCTTTGTAGGCGTTTGTTTCGTCTGTATAAATAGGATGTTCTTCTTTTTGCCCCAAGGCACGGCAGCAGGCTCAGTTACGCCACCAACTGGCAGAGGACAGCAAAGCTGATTACTCCTCAATCCTGCAGAGATTCAACCAGGAACAGTGGGAATACTACCATACCCACATCCCCACCATCTTCCAGGTAAGCGCTCCACAGCACTCACCGTTTGTGGAGACAGGCTGTTTCTGATGTGATAGGCCTCACTCTGTAGCACAGGCTGGCCTGGAACTCACTGTGTACCTACGCCAGCAGTCATCCTGCCTGAGCCCCCTGAGTCCTGGCCTTACAAGTGTGCACCACCACACCTGGCTTCGCAAATGTCCACAAAGTCATTTGGGAGTAGGCGCACATGTATGTGTGTGTGGAGGTCAGAGGTCAACTTGGATATATATCTGTACACCACATTAATGCCTAGTCCCCTTGAGGATCAGAAGAGGGCCTCTAGAACTAGAGTTCCAGATGATTGTGCGTGGACATGTGGGTGCTGGGAGTCGAACCCAGGTCCTCTGCAAGAGCAGCCAGTGCTCTTAGGTGCTAAACCATCTCTCCCCTCTCCCACCCTTTTATTTGAGACTGGGTCTCTCAGTGGCAGGCTGTAGAGATGGCTCTGTAGTTAAAAATGCTTACTGCTCTTATAGGAGATTAGCGTTGGGTTCCCAGAACCCACAATGCCTGCAACTCCAGCTCCAGGGGACCTGCCATCCTCTTTTGGCCTCCTTGGCCACCTCCGTGGACATCTGCACACACGTGGTATACATAAACTCACACAGACATACACATACACATAATAAATAAATCTTTTAAAAATACCTTAGCATAGGCTGGCTGGCCGGCAAGCCTCATAGATTCTCTTGTTTTTGTTACCCCAGCACAAGGCTACAGGTACACTCCATCACAGCCAGCTTTTTAGGTGGATTCTGGCATCAGAGCCGGCCTCATGCTTGTACAGCAAGCCCCTCCCCACTGGGCCGTCACCCCAGCGCCGGAGTTGTTTCCCGTAGCGGGGAGACCAGGCGATGGCCAGCGTTAAGAACGAAGCATGATGCTAACTTGGGATTCATCAGGTGCCCTGGGTGGACGTCCTGGGCCTTCACTGTGCCTGGGTTTTTTTGAGGGGGTTGATATCTTACAACTGTGCCTCTTAGAGGACTGCTTCCTTTGTAAAGGACACTCTGGCTACAAGAAATGCCAGCTTAGCTTTAGGAGACAAAGTGGCATTCAGACATGTGGGGTTTGAACAAACAAGTATTGTTTCCTTTGAATTGCTCTCTTTTCTCTTCATTTTAAAATCTGTGGGGGGTGGGGTGGGGGTTGGGGGTGTGTGTGTGGTTTGTGGGTACATGTATTTATTTATTTAAGGAGTATCACTATGGACCCCTGGCTGTCCTGGAACTCACTATATAGATCAGGTTGGCCTTGAACTCACAGAGATCCGCCTGGCTCTGTTTCCCAAGCGCTGGGATTAAAGGTGTGAGCCGCTGGGCGGTGGTGGCTCACGCCTTTAATCCCAGCACTCGGGAGGCAGAGACAGGCGGATCTCTGTGAGTTCCAGGCCAGCCTGGGCTACCAAGTGAGTTCCAGGAAAGGCACAAAGCTACACAGAGAAACCCTGTCTCGAAAAACCAAAAAATAAAGAAAGAAAGAAAGAAAGAAAGAAAGAAAGAAAGAAAGAAAGAAAGAAAGAAAGAAAGAAAGAAAGAAAGAAAGAAAGAAAGAAATAAAAAGAAAAATAAAGAAAAAGAAAAATAAAAAAATAAAGGTGTGAGCCACCACATTTTTCTGAGGCTGACTCTCTCACTGATTTGGAGCTTCCTGTGTGGCTGGGCTGGCCAGCAGCCAGCTCTAGAGATCCGCCTCTCTGTGTCTACAGTGATGACTTACTGTTGTACCCACCCGACCTGACCCTGTCATTTGTACATGACTGGTGGGGGTTAGACTCAGGTCCTTGTGATTGTGTGGCAAACACTTTACCAGCTGAGCCATCTCCCCAAGCACATGGATCATTTCTTTGGCTGCCTTAAGTGGTCAAAAATGATATGAGAGACACCGGATAAAGCTCACTGTGGAGCACTGGTTTGTCCCACCTAAGCCTGATGACCTTCCATCCCCGCATGACAGTCAATCAGGCTGTCATGTACAAAATAAACAAACACATTATATATATTTTTTCCCCCTGTTTGGAGAATTTTGCCTGGTTTTGAGACAGAGTCTTGCTGTGTAGCCCAGGCTGGCCTTAAACTAGTGATCCTTCTGCCTTAGCCTCCAGAATCCTAGGGTTATAGTTGTTAACATCACGCATGGCTCCCCACTTGGGAACTCTTTTATGATTTGAGTTTCAAATGCAGAAAAGCCAAAGTGACTGATTGAAGTAACTCCCCTAGTTGGGTCTAATTGGGTTCTCAGTGTCCTATGCCACCAACGAACCTCTAGGCCATAGAGGGCAGAAGATTGGTTCTCCCTCAGCCTGGGTTGCGTTGAGACGGTCACTAAAATGTTTTTGTAAAAGACGGAACGGGGAGGGACGTGAATTGCTGAGGATATTAGTAATAAAGCTGAGCTGGGTGTGGGGCATGCACTCGAATGTAAGCCTAGCACTTGGGAAGCAGAGGCAGGAGGTCAGAAGTCAAAGCTAGTCCTGCCTCAAAACAACAAAGTATAAATAATGTCATAGAGCCCCTGTGGGGTTTACAGGCACTTTCATTGTCACTGTGGTAAGGTTCTCTCACAAGGCCAGCCTCAGGGAGGAAGGGTTTATTGGTGCACAGCTGAGGGGACAGAGCATCGCGGCAGGGGAACCATCGCAGCAGGAGCAGGAGGTGGCTGGTCACATGGCATCAGCGGTTGGGAAGCAAGGGATGATGAATGCAGATGCTCAGCTCACTTTCTCCTCCTTTTTTAATTTCATATATATATATATATATATATTGGTTTTTCGAGGCAGGGTTTCTCTGTGTAGCTTTGCACCTTTCCTGGAACTCACTTTGTAGACCAGGTTGGCCTCGAACTCACAGAGATCCGCCTGCCTCTGCCTCCCGAGTGCTGGGATTAAAGGCGTGCGCCACCACCGCCCGGCAATTTCCTATATTTTTATTTTGTGTGTATGAGTGTTTTGTCTGCATGCAGGTCTGTGTACCACATGCATGCAGTGCCTTGGGAGCCAGAAGAGCATGATGAATCCCCTGGAACTGGGGTTACAGATGGTTGTGAGCCCCCATGTGGGTGCTGGGAATCTAACCCAGGTCCTCTGGAAGAACAGCCAGTGCTCTTAACCACTGAGCCATCTCTCCAGCTCCCTCTCCTTATATATAAAAAATTGTTTTACATTTGATTATTTATTTAGTATGTGGTTATGTACATACAGCTGAGGAATTGGTGAGGTGAGAGGTGGCTGTGGCTTGTTCCTTTGCTTCTCTGATCTTTCAGCATCTACTCTGATAGCTGGCTCCGGGTTTTTATTATTAAGACCAATTAGGATTTGTGCTACAGTAGGTGTATCACAGTGCACACAGTGGTCAGAGAGCATTCTGTTTTCTCCTTGCTAGGTGGGTTCCAGGGTTTGAATTCTGGTTATCAAGCTCGGAGGCAAGAACCTACACCTGCGGAGGTGTCTTATGGGTCTGCTCTTTTTTTTCCAGTCTGGAACCCCAGCACAATGAATAGTGACACCCACATTTAGGGTGGGTCGTCCCCCTCAATTAAACTAGTCAAGAAAATCCTTCCTAGACATGCCCATATTTGGTGATTGTAGATCCCGCCGACTGAAGTTGATGTTACACATCACAAGAGTCCTACTGAAACTGCAGTCCAGTTGTTTGAAGGGCTTACTATGCAGCCCAGCCGTTCACTGAACACAGCACAGCTGACTGGTCTATAACGGTACAACAAACCCACAGCCATTCGCGCTCCAATCTGTTCCCCAGAAGTATTTGCAGGGGAACAATATCACCCCAAAACAACTTCCCCAAGTAGTAGTAGACCATTTTATACACGGTCCAATTTTTGCAGAAAATACAAGAGATGGAGGAAAGGCGGATCGTGCGCATTGGAGAGTCCATGAAGACCTACGCGGAGGTGGACCGGCAGGTGATACCCATCATCGGGAAATGCTTGGATGGTATAGTGAAGGCGGCCGAGTCTATCGACCAGAAAAATGTAAGTGTAGTCACTGGGCTCTCTCCTTGTCCCTCCAGCACCACCTCCTGCTTCGACCCTGGGACGTGGAGCACTGGGTGTGGTCATTTGCACCTGAGAGTCCTTTGATGACCCTCGGTGTTTGGATTTAGTTCCCCAGTCCTTTTGTGTAGAACACAGAGTTGTCACTGAATTAAATGGATCTCTGCAAAGAGGCAAGCTCTTTAGGGCACCCGCAACCCAGCGGCCTGCTGAGTGTGAGGTGTTTGTCACTAGATGCTGGCAGCATCCCCTCGTGGGGACAGTTAGTATCACTGCCAGGCCCCTGGGTGGCAAAACTGTCCTTCGTTTAAAATACCCACTCAGATGCCGGGCGGTGGTGGCGCACGCCTTTAATCCCAGCACTCGGGAGGCAGAGCCAGGCGGATCTCTGTGAGTTCGAGGCCAGCCTGGGCTACCAAGTGAGTTCCAGGAAAGGCGCAAAGCTACACAGAGAAACCCTGTCTCGAAAAAAAAATAAATAAAAAAAAAAATAAAATACCCACTCAGATCCCTCTGTTCCACTTTTTAATTACCTCTGTGAAGAGTTTTGTCAGTTGGTGTGAACAGCTGCTTCAGAGTGTTTTAAATGGTAAATATTTGTAGGAGAGAGTTCTGGGCAGTAGGTGCTTTGTGGTTTTGTTTGTGTTGGTGTGTAGAGTTTGGTTGTAAGATTCCTTGCCTCCCATTTCATTAAGACATGTCAGCTTTCAGTGTCCTTCAGTGATCTCAACCATCTTTGTGAGAAACAGTTATCGATGTTCCAAAGTGAACATCATCCTCCCCGCCTCCAGCTACATCCTACAGGCAGGCTCCCTTCCTGAGGTGCTCAAACCATCCTTACCTTGAGCTGGAAATGTTTTTCATATTTTTGTCATCAGACTTAGTGTCTAATTTTAAAGTCTAAATGAAGCTTCCTCCAATCACTCTGTTTAAAGGCTTAGTGACTTATAAGCGACATGGTAAACGGGGGAATTTTTTAAAGGCAGAACATCATGGAAGGTTGAAATGAGATGTGGAAAGCACCTTTGGCTCTCACCTGGAGGCAAAGCTTTATGAATTAATCTATCTGGTAATAGACACACTACTAAGAGAAAAGAAATCCAGTATCAACAGGATTCTCTTGGAATGGCCTCTGCGTGCATCATGAGTGTTCTGGTGTTGATGTGGTTGTCCACGGGTATGATTGCAGGACTCCCAACTGGTCGTGGAAGCCTACAAGTCAGGGTTCGAGCCTCCTGGAGACATTGAGTTCGAAGACTACACGCAGCCGATGAAACGCACCGTATCAGAGAACAGCCTTTCGAGCTCCAAAGAAGGCAAGGCAGAGCTCAAGTTTGGCGGCAAATCCAGAGGCAAGCTGTGGCCGTTCATCAAGAAAAACAAGGTACTGCAAGTTTGGACCCTGCGGGCTGAGGCGACAAGGTGCAGAGGCTCGGAGTTTATCTTTTGGTCTTAATCAAACAAAGCTCTGAACTTGCAGAAAGCGAGAGGGAAGAGTTAGCGTGCTGCGTTCATTTCATGATTCCAACGGTCTCTTTCTGGTGGCGGTCTTTGCCATGACCTCTGTCTTATTGCAGATGTGTTATCACCTGGACTGGGTCACCCACACTAACATCACTGACCTCACGGCCCTTTCACCCACCCCTTATCCTCCCAGACTGCTGGGCACCTCTGCTGGGAGCGAGGGGACAGTGTCCCATCTAATCAAGCTTGCCAGCCTGGGCTTGGTTTTGAATCCATGTTAACCTCTGTCTCCGTGAACATTTTTTCCATTTTCTTTTCATAGCGTGGTATGTAGGTGCATGACAGCGCTAACCCACCGGCCTAAAACGGGATGGAGGTGGCATTCCTGCATTAACCTTAGTCTGGATGTTAGATTCTCAGGACAGAACTGTTCCGCTGTTCCTCAAAACCTCAGTAATTTAGACCCTTTCCCCCCATGGAGCTGTGTTAGTTTAGGTGCGGAAACGTTTACCCCTCTGGCTTACACTGGATTTGGAATGACTAATGAGAGCCTTAGCTTGCATGTGGCCGTCTGCATGAGCTTTGGGTCACAAGGTTCTGCTGTCCTGTCGCGTACTCACGGACCCTCTCCTTTTCACCCCCTCTTTGTGGAACACATCCTACATGGTTTCTTTTGTACCGTGGCATCGATATTAATGGTTTGTGTTTGACTTGCTTTGGATCTTGAATATGATTTGATGCTTATTTCTGTTTTGTGTCTTCTCGTTTCTGATTTTTTTTTTTTACTGTCACCGCTCATCTCTCACATGTAGCTTATGTCCCTTTTAACATCCCCCCATCAGCCTCCCCCTCCTCCCCCTGCCTCTGCCTCACCCTCTGCTGTTCCCAACGGCCCCCAGTCTCCCAAGCAGCAAAAGGAACCCCTCTCCCACCGCTTCAACGAGTTCATGACCTCCAAACCCAAAATCCACTGCTTCCGGAGCCTAAAGCGTGGGGTAAGTTCCGCTCTGGAATCCTGCGTCTCTTGCGCACTGTGTTGCATGTCTCATTCTGCATAACTTACTTTGTTTGTGAATGGACCCAGTGTGTTTTCCTATAACGTTTAGAGGGAGAGAAAGCTTGAGTCTCGGCTCCCAGAGAACCAGAGAGCAAAAGAATGTCAGAAAGAAAGGAAGGAGCGGAGGAGGGAGGAGGTGTGGGAGGAAGAGAAGGCCAGCAAGCCTGAGATTTGATTCTCTAGTCCGTGCTGGAAGCACCCCACACTTCCCCTTCAGAGGACTGAAGTCATTCATTTCCTCCTTGATCTCACCAACTTTGATCGGGTCTCTTAAACTGACCGTGGAGAAGACGAGGAAGTGGAAATGACTGGACAATCAGAAAATATGTGCTGACTAATTACAGACCGGAGTGTAGTCAGACACCGCTGTCCTAACGAAGCCTTGAGGCAAAGAGGAAGCCGAGCAGCACACTGGTTCCCTAGTGGAGTTAAGGGATGGTGATAAAATACCTCTCAACTGGATAGGGCTGAACTCTGTACAGGTCAAGCAGCCCAAATCCAAAGTGTTTTGAATGCCATCGTGACACCTTGAGTGAAAAGTTCCACACGTGACCTCACGTGAGTTGCAGCCATAACATAGCAGCAGGCTGTGGATGTGGCCAGAGGCAGATGTTTGCATGGGGCCTGGATTCCATCTGCAGGACCACAGAAACAAAACACAGATACCAGAAGCTTGTTCAAATTACAGGTTCAAAACACACACACACATAAAGTCAGGCTGTGGTAGTCCACATCTTTAATCTCAGCACTCAGGAGGTAGAGGCAGGTGGATCTCTGAGTTCGAGACCAGCCTGGTCTACAGAGTGAGTTCCAGGACAGCCAGGGCTACACAGAGTAACCCTGTCTCAAAAAACCAAAACCAAAAACAACACCCCGCCAAACAAACAAACAAAAAAAAAAAAACCATGTAAAACATATGTGAGTTTTATGTTTAGATTTGGATCTCATTTTATCTACATAAATCTCCCCATAAAGTCCGAAGCACTTGTGGTCCTGGACATTCTTGTGAGGAACACTAAACCTGCGTCTCTTTGCAAAGGGACAAGGCACAGTAGCAGTGACATTTATCCAGGCCTCCTCCGTTCCATTCTGAGCTCTCCTTGCAGTGAAGCCAGTATGCTAAGAGAAGCTGTGGAGCCAGGATCTAACACTGGAGAATCTGCTCCCACGGTTTGAGAGTCCCTGGCACCCAGTGGGAAAAATTTCTTAGAACATGATTGCTGTTAAGACTCAGGTTCGATGGGCTGGAGAGATGGCTCAGTGGTTAAGGGCACTGGCTGCTCTTCCAGAGGACCTGGGTTCACAACTGTCTGTAATTTCTGTTCCAAGGGGCTCTGACACCCTCTGATGCCTTCACACAGACATATATGAGGGCAAAACACCAATGTCCATAAAATACAAATAAATAAAATTAAAAAAAAAAGACTCACGTTCGAAATCAGGTGTGATGTTGCACACCTGTCCTCCTAGCCTTAAGAGGATCAGAAGTTCAAAGCCATCGTTGACTATGTAACAAGTTCAAAGTCATCCTTGGCTACATAACAAGTTCCAAACCATCCTGGGCTACATGAGACTCTGTTCAAAACAAACAAACAAACAAACAAACAAACAAACCCATCCAGTTTGCATGACAATTAAGATTGTGTGACTAAATCACACTTATCCCTCTACAGGAATCAGGGCAGTCATCTAACACAGATACCAGCTTAGCTCTCCCAAGTAAAACTAAATGACGGGTCTTCTGAGCCTTCTCCCTCCCTCCCTGCCTCCCTTCTCTCTCTCTCTCTCTCTCTCTCTCTCTCTCTCTCTCTCTCTCTCTCTCTCTCTCTCTCTCTTTCTGTCCTGGAACTCAATTTGTAGAGCAGACCGGGTTTGAACTCACAGACATCCGCCTGCCTCTCCCTTCCAACTGCTAGGATTAAAGGCATGTGCCACCACTCCCAGTTCAAGACACTTGTTTCTATGTGATGCCACGGAGCTAAGTTATCCCTAGAGCTGGAGTTGGATACCAGACCTTGGGCTGGTAAGCAGCATGGCTGGGCAAAGACAGGTCCAGTGTTCCTCATGAATGGAAAGTTCCCGAGTTTGTGGTCTTGCTCCAACATCCACTGTCATAGGAAGAGATTCCGAACCTGACTGAGCATTTATCTCAAGTCCATCTGCTGGTAGACTTCCTCATCTGTAGCATTCCTGTGCTAAGAGAATCTTCATTTTATAGAATCAGCGTGCTGATCCACGACTAACCTCAGCACTCCAAAGGTGGAGTTAGGAGAATTGCCACTAAGTCTAAAACCAGCCTGGGCTTCATAATGAGATCGCATTTCCAAAGAACAGAAACGGTGCTGGGGATGCGGCTCAGTTGTCAATGCTTGCCTAGCGCGCATCTCTAGCACAGCATAAACCACAATGTGATGGTGAAAGCCTGCTGAGATCAGACGTTCAAAGGTCCTCCTTGGCTACAGAGTGAGTCTGAGGCCAGCCTAGGCTATGTGAGATCCTACCTCAAAAATAAAATAAAATAATGGGCCAGCGATATGGCTCAGCAGGCAAAAGTACTTGGAGCCAAGCCTAATGACCTGAGTTCAATCCCCAGGTCCCAAGCAGTGAAACTCCCAAAAGCTGTCCACGCGCACAATAAACAAATAAATAAAATAGATGAGTAAATAAAAAAAAAGTAGTAGGGTCCCCAAATCAAGGTTGAAGGAAGGAAGGACACATTTGAGAGAATTATTTTGCTTTAAGGTTACTTCGTATATCAAATTAAAAACCAGACATTTGGGCTGGTGAAATGGTTCTGACAACCTAAGTTGAGTCTCCGGGACCCACATAGCGGAAGGAAAGAGAACCAACTCACCCAAGTTGTCCTCTGACCTCCACATGTGCATCTTGGTCCTCAAGTGCCCCCACATACTGCACAAATAAGTGTACTCATTTTTTATTAAATCAGAAATTTAATTTCCTAAAACCGTCAGGACAGCCACTGTGAGCAGGCAGAGTAGCTTCACAAGTGGACGATGGATCGTGCTGAGCTCTGTTGTTGGGACTGGCTGAGCAATCGGCAGCTTCTTGGCTCGATTATGCTGGCTTTTAGAACTCCACTCTTCATCAGAGAATTTCCACGGATGTTACCAGGGTGAGCCAGGCTCAGAGTCAGTTACATCATGTCACCACATAATCACTCATGTTTACGAACATCTGCATCTGTCTGTCGGACACTCATGATGAAATGTGTCAGATGTTTTCACAGTCACCATCCGTTTGCGTATCTGGTCCGTGATGCTACATCACACAATCTCCTGGTCATCGATGGTTTCGTACCTGTGTTCATGTTTCCCCCGAGTGCGTAGGCAGAGACCAAAGAATGCCTGTGTTCAATTAGTACAAGAAAAGATGGTTTAAAAAAAAAAAGTCTGATTTAAAGGAAGAATTTTTTTTTTAAATCACCAAGATGAATTTTATTTCTTACTCCTCACATCTGTGTTCAGCAAATTCCTTTTATGGAAACTTTCCTGGATGGTAAGTGCCTTCTCCCCATAACGAGCAACCTGCTGGAAGCTGTGATGTTGCGTGTGATGGGCCCTTAGGGTCAGTCAGATCCGATGCTGCTTGCAAGGAAGGGGGCCGGAGGGAAGGAAGAAAGGGGGAGACACTGAGCCTTGGAAAACATCATAAAGCCAAAGCCTGGGGAACTAGACCAGGTTATTCAGCAGCTTCAGTGTGCGAGGTAATGGATCCATGATGAGGGGGACAGTCCTTGATACCATTTCACTGTCCCTTGAGCTTGAGACTGCCGCTCCTGAGCAGAGAATCGATGGAGGATTCTGGGAGAATAGCTGTGTAACTGTGGTGTGTCTTTCTGTTCTGTTTTGTTTAGATTTTTTCATTTTATTTTTTGTCTGTGTGCTTGTCTATGTACCACGTGTGGGCCTAGTGCCCTCAGAGTTCAGAAGAGGGCATCGGACCCCCTGGAACTGGAGTTAGAGATGATTGTGAGTCACCTCATGGGTTCTGGGAATCGAACATAGGTCCTCCCCAAGAGCAGCAATGGCTTCTAACCACCAAACCATCTGTCTAGTACCCTGCAGCATGTCTTTTAATTCATCACATTTCACAGCCTTCAGATTTGAATTCTAAGTATCTGGTTTAATGACCAGAGTGTGGAAATTATGTGAAATCATTTCTTTCCTTTTCTTTTCTTTTTTTCTGAGACATGCCACCACATCTGGCTCAGTGTGCAAACATTTCTTAGCATAGCTTAGTTTTTTTCTGAATAATTAAACAAGAGTAAATATTTTTGATTTATTTATTTGTTACGTATACACACGCCAGAAGAGGGCACCAGATCTCATTATAGATGGTTGTGAGCCACCATGTGGTTGCTGGGAATTGAACTCAGGTCGTCAGGAAGAGCAGCCAGTGCTCTTAACCTCTGAGCCATCCCCAAGATTAAATACTTTTGTTGTTGCTGTTGTAAGCCATTTCCTGGGGGTATTTACAGAGAGTCTACACCAACAGACCTTAGTATTCCATCTTTCCAGGAATTAAAAAAAAAAAAAAAAAAAGATTAAAGAAGAGAGTATCCTCAGAGCTGGTGTGGATGCAAACACCTGTGATCCCAGCCCCTAGGAGGTGAAAAGTGGAGGAATCCAAGATCATCCTCCATTTCACATGGAGTCTGAGGCCAGTGTGAGCATTCAAGATCATCCTCCATTACACATGGAGTCTAAGGCCAGTGTGAGCTACATGAGAGGAAACCGAAGGGGTATGGGAGAGACTGAGATTGATATATGGATGATGGTGGAAAGAAAAATGATAGATGAAAGATAGATGTTTGTGGGCGGTGATGGCGCACACCTTTGATCCTAGCACTTGGGAGGCAAAGGCAGGTGGATCTCTGTGAGTTCAAGGCCAGTCTGTTCTACAGAGTGAATTCCAGGACAGCCTCCAAAGCTGCACAAAGAACCCTGTCTTGAAAAAAAAGAAAAAGAAAAAAAGATAGATATTAGATATAGAAGATAGATAGGATAGGTAAATGATAGAAGGATAGATGTTAGATAGATTGATGGATTGATGATTGATTGATTGATTGATTGAGATAGACACCTAGATACTAGATAGATAATAGATGGATGGTTAGATGGATGGATAGATAGGTAAGAACATGTCCTGAATTTGACTCTACAAAGGGTAATTCTATTATTGCCTAGCTAAAACTAGATGATCCCTCTGTATTTTAAAGTTAATCTTAGGAAATACCACCAAAGCAGAGCAAGACATTTTGGAAATCCGTTATTGTGTGTCACGTTCTCAATGTGCGGTTCCTTTCTTCATATATCTTACCTTGTTCTCTTGCTGACTGTTGGCAGACTCAGTCTTTGTGTTATCACAAAGAGCTCATGAAGAGGACTCTAGGGAAACCCACGCATGCCTTCGAGGCTAGGGACTATGTTGTAAGTCTGCTTGTGCTGCAAGTATGCAGTCACAGCCAAACCACTAACCCCTTGGACAGCGCCAAGACTGGGGACCAGTGCAGCTGTAACACGGCCACCCCACCAACCAAAATTCCCAACTGAGAGAACTGCACCCTGGGGCAAGGAGGGGGGTCTTAGGGTATAAATCCAACAGCTGTTTTATCCCCAAAGTTGCATAGAAAGACCCAGGCTCCCTAATGGACATCCAGTGCCCCCGTGACGTCATTGAGTGAGCTCATTGTCAGGGTGCCGCCTTTTTGTCTTAGTTCTGGTAAAATCTTTAAAGAGCCTGCAACTACTACCTGAAATGTCCGTGGTGTCCCTTGATATGAGTTTACGGCAGAAATTTACCCATAAAACACAGCTGCAGAATGTAGTCACTGAAAGAGACAGTTTAGGGCATGGCGATGTGACCATGTAGGCATCTCCATCCGTGTTTGCAGCCAGTGGGTCCCTAGGGAGTGATGCCATGAGCTTGGAGAGTAAAAACTCAAAGAAGCATGAGTAGATAGGGTCCCAGTAGATTTCACCAAAGCATATGTGCTTAGACACTTCCTGTCCCCTTTCTTTGCGCTTGAGGTTAGTAGCTGTGACCGTCCAATGACACATGGACGAGCTGGCTCTGTCTCCTTCCGTGTTATTGATGCTCGCTCCTCCCAGAGCCCCTAACTGTCGCCTGAAGCTGATGGTGTTTGGTCCCTCGGTGTCCAGTCACACACTCCATGAGTCCTTTGCCTTTATTCTCCTTGGAGAAGGCTTGCTTTCTAATCAAAAGTGACCTAATTGGCTGGCTTATGACTTATGACCTGAAAACAATCATGTTTGAAAAAAGAATTCGGCACCGCGGTGGCACCTCCTGCAGGTGATCCGTCACTGTCCATTCCAGAAAATGGAATTTGAGAGTTTTGGTGTTTCCAAAAACTGAGTGTGAGAATTTAGTATTTCTAGTTTCTATTGGAACAGATGTTCAATTTTGATCATTTGTTCTTATTTTGAAGTGGTAACCTTCCTATTGATATTACAAATTTGGTTCTAGGATATTTCCATTATAATCTGAAGTCACGAAAGGAGTCCTGTAGAGAGCAGATAGTGAGTCAGGGTCTTGGAATTCGCGTCAGATGGTGTGTGAGGATATACTAGTGTCTGCTAGTGGGCTTTGTGGGGGCCGTCCTCTGCCCTGCACCATGAGTGTTGTCTGTCTGAACGACGAACTCAGCTTGTGACGGACAATCTGTGCTTAAGCTCCAGGAGGCTCAGCAAGTTCACGGCCATGGCCTACGCAGACTTGAAAAGCTGTCCAGTCAGTCTCTTCCTTCCACATGGAATGGGTTCTTTAAAAAGCGATTGCCTGTTTACAAAGAAGTGTCTTTTTTTTTTTTTTTTTGAGACAGGATTTGTGTCGTCCAGCCTGGCCTGGAAGTCAGCTGTGTAGCCCAGGCCTCTGCCTCCTGAGTGTGAGCCACCAAGCTTGGCTAAAAGTATCAGCTTAAGGATGAAAAAGTGTAAAAGTTGGCTGAGAAATTTTTTTTTTTTTTTTGGTTTTTCGAGACAGGGTTTCTCTGTGTAGCTTTGCGCCTTTCCTGGAACTCGCTTTGGAGACCAGGCTGGCCTCGAACTCACAGAGATCCGCCTGCCTCTGCCTCCCGAGTGCTGGGATTAAAGGCGTGCGCCACCACCGCCCGGCTGGCTGAGAAATTTTAAGCCCTCCCTACCCAGCATAAAAATCCAAGTGTGCTTTCTCTGGTATTTTGTCCTCCGGGTGTGCCTGCACCCTACTATCAGTTACTAGGGCCTTCGGTATTGCTGGAGATGAAGTCAGCGCCATGTGTTGAACTCTCCCTAGGCCGACAGTGGGGTCTCACAGAATCTTGTTCTGCTCTGAGTTCTCGAAGCCCTCTTACTGTGGTTGAAGTCCTGCTGTCATGGGACCCTTCCTATCTCCAGGCCCAGCAGTAGTACAGCTGTTGTGGCCCTGTGGCGATCAGGCCACCACCCACAGCAGCACCCCGAGAGCCAAGGCAGTGTCTACCCATACCGTAAAGGCAGCTTCCATAAGCAACGTAAGCTTCTGTTCATGATCACTCTCCATGCTGTGTAGCCCCCATGGACAGGCTTGACATTCAATAGCAAGCCTCAAGCCACCTGTAGTCACACTGCTCAGGAGCCTGAGGCAGCAGGATCAAGAGTTCAAGGCCAGACTGAGCTACATAGCATGACCCAAAACTCCCCCAAAAGAAAACAATTCATTTTGAGAAAGATCGAGCCTTAGAAGTCACCCTCATGGCCCAGGAGCCAGTGCTGGTGTGCAGGTGGGAGGCTGCCTTTCCTGGTCCCCTCTGTCCTGCTACCAAGAGGCTATCTGTCTTCTGACCTCCACATACATGCTGTGGCACACGCATGCGCGCACACACACACACAATCGATCGATTGGTCGGTCGGTCAGTCAGTCAGTCAGTCATGCACACACACACACACACACACACACACACACACACACACACACACACACACAAAATCGATCCATCAGTCAGTCAGTCAGTCAGTCATGCACACACACACACACACTCACACTCATTCAATAATCAATCGATCGATTGATCAGTCAGTCAGTCAGTTAGTGTAAGAGGTGCTGGAGAGACGACACAGCAGTTAAGAGCACTTGCTACTCTTGTAGAGGACAGTACCTACATGTCAGCTTACAAGTCTGTCACTGTATCACTCCAGCCCAAAGGTTCCATTGCCCTTTTTTGGCTTCTGCAGGCACTATGGCCATGTGCTTGCGCGCTGCGCGCGCGAGCGCGCGCACACACACACACACACACACACACAAGTTTTTTGTTTGTTTTGTTTTGTTGGTGTTTTTTCAAGACAAGGTTTCCCCGTGTAGCACTGGCTGGCCTGGAACTCACTCTGTACACCAGGCTAGCCTCAAACTCACAGAGATCCACCTGCCTCTGCCTCCCAAGTGCTGGGATTAAAGATGTGCACCACCATGCCGGGCAAAATTTAAAAAAATTACTATTAGAAAATAAAAACTCGGGCGGTGGTGGCGCATGACTTTAATACCAGCACTGGGAGGCAGAGCCAGGCGGATCTCTGTGAGTTCGAAGCCAACCTGGTCTACAAAGCGAGTTCCAGGAAAGGCGCAAAGCTACACAGAGAAACCCTGTCTCAAAAAACCAAAAAAAAAGAAAGAAAGAAAAGAAAAGAAAAACTAAGCACTTGTGTGAGAGGGGGTGTGGTGGTGCATGCCTATGACCCCAGCACTCAGGAGGTAGAAGAGAAGGATTTCTGAGAATTCGAGGCCATCCCAGCCAGGGCTGGACACTGGGTAACACTGTCTCAAAAATAAAATTTTAAGAAGAATCTACCTAAGATGTCCTGGGAGAGATTTGGTAAACAAAGTGCTGTGCGATTCTTCTTTTAGGGTCATTATGTGTCACTTCTGTGCCTAGCAGATTGAAGTCCCTGGGTCTGTCCCAGCATCTTTCCAAATCACCCTCCCCAACAAGCCGATAGGCATCCAGTGGGAGGTGACAGCTCAGGTCACGAGGACTCTCCTCTCATACCTCGTCTTGGCTTTGGCAACCAAGCCACCTAAGAAGTTTTTGTTACGACCAACTCCTCCTGTGAACTTTTGCACAGATCTGCCCTGGCCATTTTCACAAGTTGGCGGGCGAGCTGATGTTATGAGTCCAGTGGGACTGGTCACATGCCCCCTCTTCTGACCTGTGTTTTTTTTCTCTCTCTCTTTCTCTCTTCCCATTTGTTACCTCTTCAATTTTTCCGTGAAGCTTTCTCTCAAGCTGGTAAGCATAATGTCCCCCATGCATGCCCCTAGTCTAATTGGGTGTCTGGTGTGTGTTATGGATGCTATGCCATGGGCAACCTGCCTCCAGCATTAACTGCTCACTCTTTCCTCCTTCGGGCACTTTTGTTGGTGTTTATCTGACCTCTGGATGTGTGACTGTCCTATTCACTAAGAAAATTAATGCTTAACATGATTTGGTTTTCCTTACTGTGGGGTCCTTATGAATATGCCAAGCATTGATCAACTGTTTATATTCATCTGAATGTAAATGTCAGAAATTGAGGGTGGGGCAGTGTTCCTACTGGATCATTTGGGTCAAAATAAATTTAAATAGTTGGACAGTTCTCCTTCCTGGCAGCCACTAAAGGAGACACTCGGGAGGCAGAGGCAAATGGATCTCTGTGAGTTCGAGGTCAGCCTGGTCTACATAGTGAGCTCCAGGCCAGCCAGGACTATTTAGAGAGACACTGTCTCAAAAACAAAACAAAACAAAACCAAACAAACAAACAAGTGAAAAACCACCACCACCACAACAACAAAATGAACAAAAACTGGGAGCCTGAAGGGACACATGGGTGTGTGTCACACCTGTAGTGACTGCTCAGGTTTTTGGTGGGAAGACCGGGGGGAAGCTAGGACCTCCTGGGGACCTGCGCAGCTCTGTGGGTGCCTTGGGTAAAGGTGATTCCAGAGGCCACAGATGCTCTGATGGATAAAGGGATGCCCCTCATCCATCCTTGCTTAAACTGTTACCTAATGTCTGTCTGTCTTGCTTTTCCTTCACGGTGTAGCTCTGGTGAACACCCGGAGTAATTGTTAATTTGTTAAAGGAAATCCTAACCAACATAACCCACTATCCTTGGAGAATGGGTGAGGGCTGGGGACGTGTGTCCTTTTGGAATACAGGTCCTTTCCCATGCGCTTCCATGACATTTCTGTGAAGTCAGTGAAAAAGTGAAACACTGGAGGCTGTAGAGTTGGCTCAGTGAGGAGAGCTCTTGCCCTCACAAGCGTGCAGACCCCAGCTTAGACCCCCAGCACCACAGGAAGCCAGGTGTGACTGTGTCCATCTGGAATCCCAGCACTGAGGGCCGGAGAGAGGTGAGTTCCAGAGGAAGTGCCCTGGACAGCCAGCCTCGCCAAAGAAAAGGCAGTCTCAAGGCTGTAACGTGGAGAGAGGGTGACATCTGACATCCTGCTGAAGTGACACCTTGAGTGTGCACAGCTCTGCATACTCATGTGTCTGTACCACAAACACGCACACAGACATGAAATATTAGGTAGGAAATGGAATAGCTGTAAAAGCAAATATCTCAAAGACCTGTTTTACCCAGGACTGTGCCCAGGAGCAATGTAGGTTCCATCCTGAGATGAAGAAAAGCTGACTACGGAGCCGTTTAACCTGGGTGTGGGTGGCCACGCCTTCCATGGCTGGTTCCACTGTCCATTCTGCTAACTGGGCCGCTCCAGCCTCTCCAGCCTCGTCAGAGACGTCCCCTCTGACTCAGAGCTGGAAACAAGAGCCCCACTGCCACAAGATGAGTCACATGCCAGAGCTTTGTTTGAGGAAATGTAAACTTCAAAAGCCTAATTGGGTGAGACACCCTTTCTACGGATCCTAAGTTTATATGAGAGGCTGCTGACCTGAATCTCCATAGCAACCAAGGTTTGAGGCTTTTCCAGTGACTTGTTTTCAAATAACAATGGTAGTTGAAAAGCCAGGGGAGCCTTTGAAAGGGACCTGGCCGGTCAGTTAGGTTGACGCTTTATCAATTGACATAGGGATAGCGGGAGGACAGTTTGTCACGGTGTCACAGGCAACCAGTGCTGTCTATTCCGTGGCTCGTCACAAGCCACCAGCCCAGAGTGCCCCTTACAGGTGCCTCTGCCATTCAGACGCCATCCAAGCCTCACACCTGTTCTAAATACATTCAAAAGATTCAGGTCACCACTGAAGCAGCCATGTTCAAGTGCAGGCAGGCAGTCTCCTGAAGCTCCTGTCCCAGACACTGCAGCCACAGAATGTTTCCATCATCACACACAGGTCTAGAGGGCTCTCTGGCCACTGACCAGATTGCCTCACTTCCACAGACCAGTGACTTGTATTGAATTTTGTTACATCCCAGATTTAAAAAAAAAAATCTCAGAGCTGGGCAGATGGGTCTGAGGGTGAAAGTGTTTGTAAGCCCAAGTGTGAAAGCTTGAGTCTAAATTCTTAGACTCGATGTAAAAGCACAATGCCCAGCAGGCATGGCCGTAATACCAGTGCCCTGTGGGGAGATAGAGTATGCAATGGAAAGACAGCCCAGAGACCCTGTCTCAAACAACGTGGAAGATAGGGACCCCTGGTGTGTGTGTGTGTGTGTGTGTGTGTGTGTGTGTGTGTGTGTGTGTATGTACACAATCTCAACCTAGGAAACAAGTATCAGGGTCCCCAAGGTGGCTTAGGACTTGATGACCTTGAGTTCCATTCCAGAGACCCACATGATTGAATGATGGAGCTGTCTCCCACAGATGGTATAATAAATAAAAATTGTAAAGACGGATCTTCCTCCAAGCTCAAAGCTGGAATAGAGTGAATACAGAGGTAGACACGGAAGTTTTCAAATAGTGTGCGTGGGAGAGGAAACTGCCCCAGCCTGTCATGCCGAGGGACCCTCCTGCTGCTGCTTGGCTTCAGGCCCTTGCTTGGCTTGGTGACAGGACCATCACCCACCCTCTCACCCTCGACCGTCACACACTCAGGGTGTCTCAGGATGGGGCTCCCATCTCCAGGCGGCCTAAGAGGCAAATATTTGCTGACTCATGCACTTCCCAGCCCAGCCATCTTCCTCATAATCGGCCTACAAACTTTGTCACAAGCCCCTGAGTAAGCCGCTTGGCAAATCCAGTGGATTCCAGAATCACATTCCCTGGGCCCCCCTTTCTTCTCGCCCCCAAGTCAGTCTCACCCTTGTTTGAAAAGAATTGAGGTTTTGAAGTAAAATCTCTCTTGTAAGCTTCCTGGCTTTCGCTGGGCCGGTTGAATACATTTCATTCTTTATGAAAACGGCCTCATTTAAGGAAAAGCTCTTGGCACTACAGTGGAGCCATGGCTGTCCAGCAAGGAGACAGTCTTTGGAGGGAGACCAGCCCCTGATGTCTTCTACTGAAAGCACATGTACAAAGACCAGAGGGCAGTGAGACTTTAAAGAGAGCCCCGCCAGGCGTGGTGGCTCAGATCTGCAGTCCTGGCCCTTGGGAGGCCGAGTCTAAAGGGCTGCCTCAAATTGAAGGCCAACCTGCTCTACACAGCAAGTACCAGGCTAAGCAGGCGCTAAAAATTGCAAGTGGGGAGCGGGGAGAAAATGAGGTGCTGCAGAGATGGCTCAGCAGTTAGAACAAACTGCCCTTGCAGAGGCCCCGAGTTCCCAGCACCCACATCGTGCAGCCCACAACCACCTGTACCTTGTTCCGGGGAAATCTGATGCCCTCTCCTGAACTCTGGGGCACCGAACACACATGTGTGCACACACAATTTTGAAATAAAATCTTTCAAATGGGGAGAGGGGACTAGGAGCCAAATGTGGTGGTTCACACCTATAATCCCAGTACCCAAAAAACCAAGGCAGGGAGTGTTCACCATGAGTTTGAGACTGTAGCCCAGTGGTAAAATGCTTGCCTCGTACACATAGGCCCCAGGTTCAGCCCTGCAGAAAGGGGGAGAGGTGTTAAAATACATTCCTGACTGTGAAAGCAGAGGAGGTTGGCTTTGTTCACTGGGAAGTAATTTGGGGTCCCAAAGACAGTGAGGGGCCAGTAACACCAGAAGGGGATGACATGGTTTTGGTTTTTGTGTTTAAATCATGCTTTTCGCTCACATCCTCAAAACGAAGTGATAGTCCACCTGTCATGATTTCACAGGGGTGGGAACTCTGCCTCAGCCTTGAGAGGGGAGCCGGGAAGGAATGCTCCAACCAAGGAAAGGGCAGAGGTTCCGAGCCAATGTTTGCGTGGCTGGATTACATTTACAGAAGCGCCAGCTTCCTCCACTTCAGTCATGGGTGGGAACAGTCAGAAAATGCAAACGAAGTAGTCTCTAAATTTTCTGTGGGCTTCCTTCTGAGTCAAACCTATTTCCTGGTCTCTCCTCCCCGGAGTGTGGCTGCTCCTGGTCTTCCTGCAGTGTGCGGGCCCTTGTAGTAACAGGCAGCCATTGGCGGGACCTCTGGGGTTTGCCTGGGTTTGGGTTTCCCATCTTAGCTGGTGTGGCGGGAAAGCCTCGCTGGTTCTGGGGAGCCTCTGCAGGTCTGCAGGCTTGGTTTGCCTCCTCCTACCCAGGAGCACCTCAAGGCCTTCTGGCTTCTCACTTACGTTTGTGTCTGCAGGGTGCCACACCAGAAGACTTCAGCAACCTCCCGCCTGAGCAGAGAAGAAAAAAGCTGCAGCAGAAAGTTGATGATCTCAATAAAGAGATCCAAAAGGAGATGGATCAGAGGTAGGATGGGTCAGTGTGCCCTGTCAAACAACCCAAGCTCAGTTTGGAAAGAGGAAATCTGAAAATGTGTGTGTGTGTGTGTGTGTGTGTGTGTGTGTGTGTGTGCGCGCGCAGTACCCACAGAGGCCAGAAGAGGGTGTCAGAACTCTTGGAACTGGAGTTACAGGCCGTTGGGAGCCACCAGATACAGGTGTTGGGATCCCGACTTTGGCCCTCATGATAAAGTAGTACATATTCTTAAATGCTGAGCCATCACCTCTCCAGCATCCAAAATGGATAGAAAGGCATTATTTTGGTAGGTGTTTTTGTCTGTTTTCTCACTGTGTGCTGGGTTTCTCTGTAGAGGTTGTATTTTGAGTCTGGGGAACAAAATGCCGTTGGCTAGGTTTCATGTTTCTCTTGTCCTGTGTGAATGGGTGAATTTTTGGTTTTCTACTCCAGTCAATGGGAGGAAGATTAATGGGGTCCCGGGGTCATGGGCTGAATAGGCTACCTCAGCTTCCCTCCACCTTGTACAGATGTTGGTGTGGCTGCACTTCTTGCAGCAGGGGTGCAGGCGTCTGTAGCTCTCGAAGCAGGGGTGCAGGCGTCTGTAGCTCTCAAAGCAGGGGTGCAGGCGTCTGTAGCTCTCGAAGCAGGGGTGCAGGCATCTGTAGCTCTTGAAGCAGGGGTGCAGACGTCCGTAGCTCTTGAAGCAGGGGTGCAGGCGTCCGTAGCTCTTGAAGCAGGGGTGCAGGCGTCCGTGGCTCTCGAAGCAAGTCATCTTCTTGTCTCTTGTATTTCTGAGCAAGCTGGCGAAGGGATAGTTCATTTATGCACAGCACTAGGTGCAGGGTGGACTCTCTCTGATGTTGTAGTCATACAATACGAGCCATCCTCCAGCAGCTTGCCTTCCAGTATTGTCCTCTGCTGCTCCAGCAGGCTGCTTTCCTTGTCTGGGATCTCTGTCCCGACATTCTCAAGGATAGTGTCACTGGGCTCCACCTCAAGGGTGATGGTCTTGCCTGTCAGGGACCTCTTGAGGTTCTGCATATTGGCATCAGCTAGGTCGCCTCGATACAGGCAGAATCTTGGAGTTTTCTCTCAGGGGTCAAAGGGATTTTGGGTTATTTGTTTTTGTTTTTGTACAAAGAGTAGAAAATGGCATGAGTCCCACTCCCACACATCCTGCTTTTGAGTCTAAAATCTGTTTCTTTTTAGTTGAGGCTAATTAAGTATCAGCCTTCCTGTAGAGTCTCACAGGTCTCCTCCCTCCCCTCCCCTTCCCTCTCCTCCTCTTCCCTCCCCTCCCCTTCCCTCTCCTCCTCTTCCCTCCCCTCCCCTTCCCTCTCCTCCTCTTCCCTCCCCTCCCCTTCCCTCCCCTCCCAATCCCCTCTTTCATTGGTTTTTTGTTTGTTTGTTTTTTGAGACAGGGTCTCCCTATGCAGACCAGGCTGGCCTCAAACTCACGGAGACCTCTGCCTCCTGCTTGCTGGGACTAGAGGTGTGCACCACTGCACCCCTCTGTTGTTTGGGGGGTTGTTTGTTAGCCTTTGAAAGAGTCTTACCCTGTAGTTCAGCCTGTCCTGGAATTCATTGTATTGCCCATGCTGGCCTTAACTCAGGGTAGCAATCCCCCTGTTGTAGCCTCCCAAGTGCTGGATCTATGGGCGTGAACCCCACCCATTTTTTCTTTTCACTGACTGTTTTAGTGGTCTGGAAGACAGCTGGTCTCTTTGTTCTGCTCAGGCTCAAGGTACAAGAAGTCTCAGGCTTTTCTCTCAAGGACCAAAGAGGGGTTTTCTGTTTGTTTGTTTGTCTGCTTGGTTTTTGTTTTTGTGGTGGGTTTTTGGTTGGTTGTTTGTTACTGTTTTTATTAAAAAGGAGAGAAGACTTATCATCCCTTTGGGACTTGGAGGTTTTGTTTTGTTGTGTGCTGTGCTGGGGTGGAGTGGACTCAGGGCCTCCGCACATGGTAGGCAGTTCTTCCGCTACTGAATCACAGTCCACATGGAAATCAGCAGGGGGGCAGTGGCGGCACACGCCTGTAATCCCAGCACTCAGGAGGCAGAGGCAGACGGATCTCTGTGAGTTCAAGGACAGCCTGGTCTACAGAGTGAGTTCCAGAACAGCCAGCGCTATACAGAGAAACCTTATTTCAAAAAACCAAAAACCATGGAAATCTTACGTATTAATGCTGTATCTTGAAATTGTGGCAATTGTTTATTTATTTGTTTGTTTGTTTTGAGAGTGTATTTAAAAAACCAAAACATTAAAGCTGTGGTTTTGGAAAGAAATTTATAGCTCTTGATGCATACTACAAGGAAAGTTAAAAAGCTAAATGTAATGGCACACGTCTGTAATCCCATCACTTAGAAGACTGAGGTAGAGGGTCACAAGTTCAAGGCCAACCTGAGCTAGTTTTGAGACCCTACCTCAAAACCAATAAAAACAAACATGGCTCAGCTGTTGAGAGCACTTGCTGTTCTTACAGAGGACTGGGGTTCAGTACCCAGCACACATGTGGTGGCTCACAACCACCTGTAACTCCAGTGCCACAGGATCCGATGCCCTCTTCTGGCCTCTGTGAGTGCTGCCCACAAGCGGTGCCCACCCAGACATTCAGGCACACAATTTTTTTTAAAGTTTGATTAATTTTTAAATTTAATATTAAAAAAGAAATGAAGTCTGTTCTTTTTGCTTCAACAGGAAGCACCCAAAAGTGAAAAAAATTCAAATAAAAGATAGGCCATTGCCACCCCATCACTAACCAAGACTGATACTGAGGGATATCACAGAAAACTAACTAATGCTTCCTTCTCTGTAGCTTGCTGTCTTTCTGTCTTGCTCTCCCCCGCCAGCCTCTCCTCTCCTCTCTGACCTCTCCCCTCCATCCCTCTCACTCCCTCATTATAACTTAGGTCTCCTTGATGGAACCCCTGAAACCAACAGCTGCTCACCTTCTGACCATCTCAGGGACTCATGTGTGACACTTCTGAAGCTTCCAAGCTGTCCATCCTTTGTGCCCTAGAGAACAGTCTCACAACTATAAACGTAGGAGGGGACACAGTTTCCAGCCAGCCAGGAGGGGTGAGCGCTAGAGAGCAAGAGGCACACAAATTTTTAAAAATAAGTTAAAACAGCCGGGCATGGTGGTGCACACCTTTAATCCCAATATTCAGGAGGCAGAGGCAGGTGGATCCCTGAGTTCGAGCACAGCCAGGTCTACAGAGTGAGTTCCAGGACAACCAGGGCTACACAGAGAAACCCTGTCTCCAAAAACAAAACAAAACAAAAACCAAGTTGAAACAAACAAACAAAAAAGCAAAAGCAGGGCTGGAGAGATGGCTCAGTGGTTAAGAGCACCGACTGCTCTTCCAGAGGTCCTGAGTTCAATTCCCAGCAACCACATGGTGGCTCACAACCATCTGCAATGAGATCTGGTGCCCACTTCTGGCCTGCAGTCATACATGTAGACAGATCACATTATACATAATAAATAAATAAATAAATCTTTAAAAAAAAAAAGCAAAAGTGAATTAACTAAGGCACCTCTTCATGAAATTAGGGAGGAGACAGCAGGTTAAAGTCATCACAGACAGGAGAGAGAAGCCATGTGGTGGGAGTCTGGGGCAGGAAGATTGCTGACCAGTGAGGCCAGCCTGTGCTACAAAGTGAGACCCCACCTCAAAAAAGGAGCAAGGAATTGGGGCAGGGCTCAGTGGTTAAGAGTGTGTATTCCTTTTGCAAAGGATCTGAATTCTATCTCAGCACCACACCGGGTGACTCACAACTCAGTAACTCCAGCTTCAATAGGGTCTGATGCCTCTGACCTCAATGGGCACGTGCACTCACGTGCACACTCACCCTCCACACATAACTGAAAATAATAATTTTTAAAGCAAAAGAGAGAGACAGACAGAGACAGAAAAAGAAAAGAAAAGAAAAAACAAAGCCGGGCGGCAATGGCACATGCCTTTAATCTCAGCACTTACAGGCAGAGCTGGGTAGATCTCTGAGTTTGAGGCTAGCCTGGTCTACAGAGCAAGTTCCAGGACAGCCAGGGCTACACAGAGAAAACCTGTCTCAAAAACCAAAAGAGAAAATCATGCTGTTTAACAAAGGATTTACAGACACAAAAATTCGGTTCCTTAAAGACTTCAGTAAAATTAGGGCTGGGAGCAGATCAGTGGGAAAGTGCTTCCTGCACACGCACGAAGAACTGAGTTCCAATCCCCAGTGCCCCTGTAAAAGCCAGGCACAGCGGTGGGTCTGTAACCCCACCACTGGCAAGCTGGTGAGAGACCGCGTCTCAAAAACCAAGGGGGTAGCCCGGCAGTGGTGGCGCACGCCTTTAAACCCAGCACTCTGGAGGCGGAGACAGGCGGATCTCTGTGAGTTCGAGGCCAGCCTGGGCTACAGAGTGAGTTCTAGGACAGGGAACAAAACTACACAGAGAAACCCTGTCTTGAAAAACCAAAAAAAAAAAAAAAAAAAAAAAAAAACAAGGGGAGTGGCCGGAGCGAGGGCTCCATGCTTATAAGCCCTTGCTCTACGATTGGAGGACTGAGGTCCAGACTCCAGCACCCACAAAACATGCCCAGTGTCCCACAAACATCTCTAAGCCAAGTTCTCAGGTGGACAGAGTCGGTGGGATCTCTGGGGCTTGCCTCCAGGGAATAGGTGAAGACTGAGAAGACGCATGACTGTGTTCTCCGTGTTCTCCATGACTCACACAGGCATGCTCACCTGCACGCTCACACACACAAATAAACAAATACATAAATAAGCAGTTTTTAAAGAAAAGGCATAGGTAGACAAGAGGTAGATGAAGACACCCAATGTGACCTGTGTGTGCACACATACCTGCGCACACACACAACACACATGAGTGTGCACACACACACATCAGTGAACTTTTGAAGAAATTGATCAAAAGAGACCATGAGAAGAGAGGTGAGCTCACCCTGTAGCCCAGGCTAGCCTCCAATTTACGCTCCTCCTGCCTTGGCCTCCAAGTGCTGGGATCACCAGTATGTGTCACCAAGCCAGAAGGGCAGTGTTAACAACTACTTTTAATTTTTCAGAGAAATGCTGGTAAGAGGTGATGGGAGACCTGTGATGCCCAGGATGGGGTTTTGTGAAGGACAGTTGACTTTTCACCCAGTCAGAGAAAACCCGCTACTGACTCCGGCCTCAGTTCCCATGCTGTTCTTACTCTTTTCTCAGGGACGCCATCACCAAAATGAAAGATGTGTACCTAAAGAACCCTCAGATGGGAGACCCGGCCAGCTTGGACCACAAACTCGCTGAGGCCACCCAGAACATAGAGAAACTGCGCCTGGAGACACAGAAGTTTGAGGTGTGGAGGACAGGATTAAGGAAGGAGCAGGAAGGGGAAGGCTGCCTCTGGGCAGAGCCCTGGGGAACCCCCCCCAACCCTCACCCCCACATTTCCAGTGGTTGGTGTGATGGTTGTGTTAGGCTATGTCTCTGGAGAGGAAAACCACCCTACTGACAAGCCTTGGGCCTGGGGTTCCCCAGGGTGACCTCAGAGCCACGGGACTGAGTCAGAAGGAAGTATAGGGTAATTCATCTGTGATTACATGGCTGCCCAAGAGTGTTGCCCAGTGATGCCTGCTTTCTGCCATGTGGGATGATTGGTAAATTTGGTAAACAGGGGCCTCCCTACCCCTTCCTCAACTCTGCAAGAGAAGCAGTTGCCTGTGAGCCCATCTGTATAGCCAGCCAGTGCAGGGCCAAAGACGTCACCCAGGCCTTCCTCCGTCAGCTTTAAGTGACTGTCCAACCCTGAGTTAAGGCCTGGCGGCCCACGATTGAGCCTAGGCTAGCCCAGGTCCAAGTCTTCTGTGGCTTTTGCTTCCAGGCCTGGCTGGCTGAGGTGGAGGGCAGACTCCCAGCACGGAGTGAGCAGGCGCGCCGGCAGAGTGGAATGTATGACGGTCAGACACACCCGACAGTCACTAACTGCGCCCAGGACCGGGAAAGGTACAGTCCCTGTGCGGCCCTGCCTCTGGCAGAGGGGCCATCTGGCTTTGTACTTACCTCTAAATTCTGGAATTTCTCATGAACGTAAGGCAAGAACGTGTGTTTCCATCATCTCTGATCCTTCCCACACGAAAATGTTTCAATTTATCATCCAGTCTGGGCGGGCGACCTGAGGCAGCGTTGCCCCGTGGTGGTGGTGGTGGTGGTGGTGGTGGTGGCGGTGGCGGTGGCGGCGGCGGCGGCGGCGGCGGCGGCGGCGGCGGCGGCGGTGGCGGTGGCGGCGGCGAGGGGACCGCGTCTCCAGGTGGGGCGCTATAGTTGTTTCCTGTCTTCCTCTCTTGAGCAGCCCAGATGGGAGTTACACGGAGGAGCAGAGTCAGGAGAGCGAGCTCAAGGTGCTGGCCACGGACTTCGATGATGAATTTGATGATGAGGAGCCACTTCCTGCCATAGGGACCTGCAAGGCCCTCTACACATTTGAAGGTACTGCTGCCCAAGGGAGGTCTTCTGCCTTCCCAAACTGACTAGGTGATCCCTCTCTCCCAGGGATCAGAACTCTCTCTCTCTCTTTCTCTCTTTCTCTCCCTCATACATACGATAAAATTATAGAAAAAAATATTATTTATTTTATGTGAATGGGTGTTTCGCCTACATGTGTGTCTGTGAACCATGTTAGTGCCTGGTGCCTGTGGAGGCCAGAAGGCAGCATCGGATCCTCTGCAACCGGAGTTGTAGGTGGTTGTGAGCCACCATGTGGTGCTGGGAACCGAACCCCAGTCCTCTGCAAGAGCAGCCAGTGCTGTTGACTACTGAGCCATCTCTCCAGCCCCAGTAAAAGAATTTTTAAATAAATAAATAAGATGGGAAAATTAATCAATAATCAACCTGACAGCAACCTCTACCCACCATACACTACACACTCACACACACACATTTATATACACACATCACACTCACAATCTCTCACATGCTCTTCTACATACACATGCTCACACAATCTCTCTTTCACACACACACACACACACACACACACACAGTGGAGTACCTGGTTGAGAAAAAGAAGTGTCAGCTTTTCTTGAGGAGCTGTTGATGGTGTTGACAGGCACACCGTTGCCCCTGTGTGGGATCGGCCAGGAGACAGGGTGGACCATCAGCCCAGGCCTCAGCCAGGGGACAGGGTGGACCATCAGCGCCAGGCCTCGATGCTCTGCACTTGGACATGCTGCTGCCCAGAGTTACAGAGGACGCTGTGACAGAAGCAGGCAGGGCTCAGGGATGAGTGACAGATGCCATACCCAGAAAATCATCAATGAAGCTTTGCTGTGTCACCCCGCCCCCAACACCGACAGACAGTCAGTCAGACACACACACACACACACACACACACACACACACGTGACCCTGCTGACAGGGCCCTAAACCATTGTCCGCTGCCCTATTTCATTTCTGTTGCTGGGATGAAATATCCTGACGATAATCAACTCAGAGGGGAAAGGAGTTTCTCTGGCTCACAGTTCCGAGTCCCAGTCTATCCTAGCAGGAGCCAGACAATGGCTGGTCACACCCACCACCAAGACGAATGCTGTTCTAAGAGCTTCTACTCTTTTCTTTTCTTTTTTTTTTTCTCGAGACAAGGTTTCTCCATGTAGTTTTGGAGCCTGTCCTGGATCTTGCTCTGTAGCCCAAGCTGGCCTTGAACTCACAGAGATCCGCCTGCCTCTGCCTCCGGAGTGCTGGGATTAAAGGCCTGCGCCACCACTGCCCAGCTAGCTTCTACTCTTAGACAGCAGCGAACTTTCAGGTGCTGCCCACTTTCAGGCTAGGCCTTCCCACATCAATTATGGTGGTTAAGACAGACTCCCACGATATCCTCCCTATGCTAATTCCCTGCCGGGTTCCACCCTCCTGAATGCTTAAGGGAAGTTCCTTGTCTGTGTATCCTGCATACTGGGTGTTAACAGCTTAGATGCAAGATTGTAAAACATCTGTAGCAAACTTCTGCCCTCCGGGGTTCCCCCACTGTGCTGTAAGCCTGTATTTAAGACCTCCTCCCTCCTTCAATAAACGGCATTTGGCATTAAAAAACAATAATAATAAAATAAAATAAAATAAAGACAGACTCCCACAAGTCCAACAGTGGTGGCGCATGCCTTTAATCCCAGCACTCAGGAGGCAGAGGCAGGCGGATCTCTGAGTTCGAGGCCAGCCTGGTCTACAGAGTGAGTTCCAGGATAGTGAAGGCTACGCAGGAAAACCCTGTCTTGGAAGAAGAGAGACAGAGACAGACAGACAGACAGAACCAGCCTTCCATGGACACTCCCACAGGCCGACCTGCTGTCCAGTTCCTCACTGATCTCTTCCTAGGTGGCCTCAGGTTGTCTCACGCTGACAGAAATAACCATTGCACACTCCCAGAGCTGTCCGAGAAGGGTGGCTGGCTTTTAAATGACCGTAGAGAGCTGTCTGGGGGCCTTGGCTAAGGAGAAGACACAGCTGCATTGTGCTTGACAGGGCTAAGCAAAGGGGAGGAGAGCCAAGGCCAACCCAGCGGCTCATCCTTGGGTGGCTCATCCTTGGGTCCTCGGAGATGCCCTGGGGAAGGAGTGTCCCAGGAAATCCAGGTCTCCTGGGCTACATTTCCAAGGCCTGGGGACATCACGAGGAACAGTCCTAGAGGCAGTAGGAAAAGTAGAACCTTGACTTCAGGAAATGCCAGAAGGGGAGAGAGATGAGGGCCTGCTAGAAGGTGCTGTGGAAGTTGAGCGAAGACCCCTGCTCCCCCTGCCCCCCTCTGCCCCAGGAGAAACCCTGAGAGGAATGGCCTAGAGGAGTAGATTCACCAAGGCTTGTGGGGAGCTGTGGGGGTTCCTCAGAGGACCTAAGGAAGGGTCCTGTCTAAGGAGGGGTCCACAGACAGGAGGAGGAACCTGAAGACACTTGAGGAAGGAAAACACCGTGCAGGGACCAAGGAGGGGGGGACGTCCTCTGCACTGATCACCTTGACTCCCAGATACCGCTGCAAGGGCCCTCCCAGCACGACCTGAGAGACCTCACAGCTCGCTTTCCTTCTTCAGGTCAGAATGAAGGCACCATTTCCGTGGTGGAGGGGGAGACGCTGAGCGTCATCGAGGAGGACAAGGGTGACGGGTGGACTCGCATCCGCAGAAGCGAAGACGAGGAGGGCTACGTCCCTACCTCCTACGTCGAAGTCTATTTAGACAAAAACGCCAAAGGTGCTAAGACTTATATTTAATCCACTTAAGACAAAACAAAAGCCTTTAAAAGCATTGGAGTTGTCTCTCCCCACCACTTTGGCTGTTACAGGCCTTCAAGAGGCCGGCAGAGAGCAAGTGATGCAGACACTCGGGGAACTGGGGGCATCTCATGCCTGAGTTTGTCCAACTTGGCCACGTGCAAAGCTGCCACTGGCCTGCTTACAACTGTGTCCTTTGAAATCTGATCAGTGTTTCCATCCTTTCAACAAAATATGTAGATTTTTTAATTGTATAGTGGTGGTTCGTGCCTATAATCCCAGTGCTCAGGGGGCCGAGTCAGGAGCATCCCATCATGCCTATAATCCCAGTGCTCAGGAGGCTGAGTCAGGAGCATCCCACTGAGTGTCAGGTTAGCTTGGGCTACAGAGTAAGACTCAGTATATAAATAAATAAATAATAAATAAATAAATAAATAAATAAATGTATGTTACATTTGTTACTTCATCAGTGGAACTGAGTAACACCTAAAGTCTTTGACTAAAGACTGTAACATTCTCTTGGTGCCCACGCTGAGTGCCCTTACAGTTGCTGCTCAGGTCTCCTGTGTTAGCCTTTAATTGTCTGAGTGTCCCAAACAACCAAGAGATGTCCAGAAATGTACGCTCCTTTAGTGATTTAACTTTGACTGACATTATCGTCTTCTGGTTTCACCCGATGGGCCTGGGCCAATGGTAGGGTGTCTTCAAGCTGTTGAGGCAGGCTTCTGCAGCAGCTAAGTGCCCAACACCCCTGTGGGCGTGATTTTCTATTCCTGTCAGAGGGTTTGCTGTGAGCAGAACCTGGTGTACCAGCCACTGTACAAAATGGCACCTGCATGTCCCTTTTTAAGGGGAAGACTTTCATTTTCTTTTTGATCTATAAGAGCCAATGTTTGAAATACTAGACACTGATTTTGGGGTTCTGGCACATTTGATCCAGCTAACTACAGCCAGAATAAAATAAATGGTCTCGTGTTTGAAGGGAATCTGGGCCATGTGGGAATTTGCACTTTAAAGTCAGTGCTGATATTGGAGGGGAGGGAGTGGCATGGGTCATATGCAGAGGTAATCCAGGACTGAATTATGCCAATCATGACCTCAAAGTCACCAAGGAGCCACATCTGTCCTTTTGTTGTTGTTGCTGCTTGAGACAGTGAAGCATGATTCTAATTAGTCTTATCAATAAAAACCAAGAGCCAAATATTGGGGTAATAATCTGAAAGATCAGAGAAGCAGAGCGGCAGCCACTAGAGACTTCTTACCGCTACGAATCCTCAGACCGAAAAGGGGGCCAAGATCCTGTCTCCACCTCCCCATTGTGCTGGGATCAAAGGTGTGAGCCTCCCAAGTGCTGGGATCAAAGGTGTGAGCCTCCCAAGTGCTGAAATCAAAGGTGTGAGCCTCCCAAGTGCTGGGATCAAAGGTGTGAGCCTCCCAAGTGCTGAGATCAAAGGTGTGAGCCACCACCACCTGGCCTCTATGGTTAACTAGTGGCTAGTTCAGACCTTTGATCTTCAGGCGAGATTTGTCAGAACACAAACAAAATATCATACAAGACAGGGTTTCTCTGTGTAGTCCTGGCTGTTCTGGAACTTGCTCTGTAGACCAGGCTGGCCTCGAACTCACAGAGATCTGCCTGGCTCTGCCTCTGGAGTGGTGCCACCACCGCCTGGCTCACATCTGGTTCTTTCTGTTTGACTTTGGGAATTATTTACATCTTATTTTTTTTTTTCCGAGACAGGGTTTCTCTGTGTAGTTTTGCGCCTTTCCTGGAACTCGCTTTGGAGACCAGGCTGGCCTCGAACTCACAGAGATCCGCCTGCCTCTGCCTCCCAAGTGCTGGGATTAAAGGCGTGCGCCACCACCGCCCGGCTTACATCTTATTTTTAAGCAAGAAAATAGCTCTCTGCCTCTATATTAGGGGCTCATTTTTATAAGCTGTTTTGTTTGTTTTTAATGTGGTTGGGGATGGAATTGGGCCGCATGCATGCTGGCAGGCTCATTCCCACGGAGCTGTAGCCCAGCCCCTTCACTGACTCTAAAAGTGACAGCTATACATCAATCTGGGCTCAGGAACCTGAAACGGTTTCGAGATTCTGGCAATGATTTCACCTGAATTTCACAAGGGCCTGTGAGGTGTCATTGAGCAAGCTTTCCTTACCGACAGCCTGGCTCTTAAAAGACTTTTTTTTTTTTTTTTTTTTGAGGCAGTGTCTTTTTTTTTTTTTAAAGGATTTATTTATTTATTATGTATACAATGTTCTGCCTGCATGTATGCCTACAGTCCAGAAGAGGGCACCAGATCTCATTATAGATGGCTGTGAGCCACCATGTGGTTGCTGGGAATTGAACACAGAACCTTTGGAAGAACAGCCAGTGCTCTTAACCTCTGAGCCATCTCTCCAGCCCGAGGCAGTGTCTTGATATGTAACCCAGGCTAGCCTTGAACTCGGTTCCCCTGGCTCTTGGCAGTTACAAAGTTGATATAAAGATGGCCCCATGCCCTCCCCAAGGCTTCAGCAGCCATACTTCACAGTCTAGTACGGTCTCCAAAATAGGAAGCTGACCCAGGCCACCTGGCTGTTTTTAATGCACATTCATTTTGTAATTCGTATTTTGTTTGAGTAACTTTTGCTGTCGTGGTGTATTTAAAGTCAACCATTCCGGGGCCCCTTCAGGTAAACAGCCTTCTGGGTGAAATGGACAGGTTTCCCTCAGGTTTGTGCAAGTTGGGGTGGGGAAATGTCAGTTTGGACATGCATTTGTGGTCACAGTCTTAAGTGTGTGTTACTAAATTGAACTTAGCATCCTAACAGATGAATGGGTCCAACACTAACTACACTGAATGATACTTCGTAGTTCCCATCTCCTCCGTGGTGAATAATAGAACTTCCTTCCAATAGTTGGCTGTTAAAAAAGGGAGATTGGAGATATGGTTAGGGGAAGCTGGCTCAGCAAATACAGGCATTTGCCCCCCAAGCATGATGAATATGAGCGCAATCCCCAGGACTCACGCGGTTGAAGGAAGGACCAATTCTCTAAAGGTGACCTCTAACTCTCCTACGCCATGGCACATGTGTACACCCACACAAAACACACACAACTCAGTGTAAAAAACTAGAGAGCAACGCACATCTGGAACCCCAGCCAGCACTTGGGAGCCAGAGGCAGACAGATCTCTGTGAGTCCAGGCCAGCCAGGGCCACAGAGTGAGATCTTGTCTCAAAACAACAGCAAATAAATAAGTAAAGAGAGGGAGAGCTGAGCTGTCTGTAGCTTTTTCCTGTTGTCAGGAAAGTATATCTGAGATTAATGGTCACCTGGGAGCTATCCTCAGACTGGGGGTGGGGTGCCATCCCACCTAGCCTCTCCCAAACCCTGCCCTCCTGCCTCCAACCCCTATCGGCCCAGCTGCTGCTGCCCAACTCCCAGGAACTCCAAGTACCTCTTGGATATTTGGGGGGGAGGGGCGGGCGCATTCCAGACAGGGTCTCTCTGTGTCATACTGGCTGTCCTGAAGCTGGCTCGGTACACCAGGATAGCTTCAAACTCAGAGATTCACTTGCTTCCGCCTCCGGGATTAAGGGTGTGCGCCACTACCGCCAGGCTGCACCTTTTGGATTTTTATATCATAACGCCAGAGCACTTTCTGTGTGTGTGGTATCTATGACGTACTTAATCATTGCCAAAATACTAGACTACTCTGAGCCTCGTGGGGAATGTTGCTTTTTACATCACTTTCTGTTGAACATGCCCGTAATCCTGCCCCGCAGGGTATATTTGTATATATTGCAATTTGAAAACTAAGCGGATTCTTTGAACAGTGTTGCTTTAGTGTTTTACCTGTCTGTTTTATTTGTTATTCCTCTGCCTAACCACTTTTTGTTTTTATAACTACTGGGGAGGCCCCTGGACTCTTGCACGGTAGCTAGGTCCCCCGGCTGGCTGCTGCACGCTTGAGTTTATTATAAACCCCTGGGCTCTGAGTAAGTGTTTGAATATAGTTGAATATAGCTGTCATGATTGTTTCTCTCTATTCTTCTCTAAGAGCAAAGACTCTGCCTGTCATCCTCCAGTGTGCCCTCGAACCTGCCTCTCTAATAAATGTTACTCTTTTTCTCAGTGCTGTGTATTTTAAGTGATTTTTCTCTTTTCAAGAACATTGTTCTCTGTAATAAGTGTGTAACACTTTCATCTCTGGGACTGAGGAATTTTCCAGCCAAATGCTTTTTTTTTTTTTTTTTCCCAAATAATTCTGCCTCCCTGTTCTTACTCCTCCTGTCCTCAGGCCTTGGCCTTGGAGCATCTGCTTTCCCTGTGTATTTCCTCGCCTCTGGCGATGGAGAGCTTTCGCTGCTCAATGAGGCATGGCAGCCTTAGGCTGCCTCCTGCCAAAGGGGTCTGTCCTTACTGCAAAGAGGCCCTACAATTGCAATGGGAGAATTTGCCCCTTAGCTTCCTCACGCCGTCCTGGACAAAAAAGAAAAAAAAAGTTCAGTTTGTTAAGAAGATGTCAAGTGATCAACCTTATTGATCTTTTTTTTTTTTTTTTTTTTTTTTGGTCCAGAGATGGGGCCAGCTAAAGACAGAAGTAAAAAGCCAGGCCTGTCATGCCAGAGTGTGGGAAGTAGAAACAGGAAGGCCATGAGTTCAAGGTCATCTTCAGCTGTCTAGAGACTCTGAGGTCACCCTAGGCTACAGGAAAGCCTGCCTCAAAACAAGGGACTAAAGCCTCGAAAGCTCTCCATGGCAGAGCCGCTCTGGTGACCGGGCACTCAAACCCCACCCCTCTTCCCAAGGCAAGCGCTTTGCCGATGGCAAATGTCTGCCTCTCACCTGCGGCTTTCTCTAACCCAGGGCTTTTCTTCTTTCTTTTTGTGTTATAGGTTCGTAAAGGCGGTGCACATGGCCAGAGTTCCCCGTGGGCCTCCCCAGGAGTCACCATCAGCCAGTCCACTTGTCCCCACGAGCCTCCAGCCCCACCCAGGCTGGCTGGGCATCCTCCAGCCCATCTGCAAGCTGGCTCTCTATATCCCACGCCCCCTTCTCATCACAGCATGCTCCCGTGGTTCTGCCATCCCCTCTGCCCATTGTACTGGCAGGGGCATTTCTCTTCCTCAGCCCCACACAGGGGTTGTCCACCTCACTCCAGTCCCCACCCACAGGGGCCACAAAGACAGCTGGACTTGTGCCCATGGGTCCCTGCTCCTTCTGGGCTCCCAGTCCACCTGCAGATTGCCTGGCCAGTCCTTGCACATTTCACACTGTGCCTTTTGTCAACTGTTACCACTGCTTTCCTAGGTGACAGACAGAATCCA